GCCACTTTCAAAATTAATGAAACGACCGTTTCAATTTTTAAAAAAGACACAAGTTGAAAAAGAAAGAAATATAAAAATTCCCTCAAAATAAAGAAAAATATGACAATCTTGTGTATCCAACTTTTATTCGCCATCAATGAAATGTTACTTTTCTAAAATTTTTAAAAAGAGGTCGTTCCAAGCGCAGCAGGTTTTAAAGAGCGAAAAAAGATCCCAAGAAGATGGATAAGCGAGTTATTACGGCTGGTATCTTCATTACCGGTGACGTCTCTTATCTAAAATTAATTGAAACCAATAACGTGCAAACAGAATACATATCGCCGTGTGCACGATCCATGCCGGCGTCGTCGGCCTAATTAGCTCCCCGACCGTGCAATTACGCAAAGACTCGAGCAACTTATCTCGCTCGTCGCCGCTCCCTCCCCCATTTTTCCCTCCCCTCGCAGCAGACAGAGTCACGCGAGACGATGAAAAATCGCGCGGAATGCAGATACGTCCCCGCGGTGGCGCGATCGCGATACGACGATTGTCACCCGGATGTCCCACGCATGCAAAACAGTCGCAATTAAGCCGGCGCGATTTGCATGCGTGTATTGTTGTGCAAGGGGCAAGGGACGAAAAGAAGAAAGAGGAGAAAAGAAACAAGAGAGAAAGAGAAACGCGAGGAGAAGGAGAATGGAGAAATTACGGCCAGAGATGAAACGTCGATGAGCGGACATTAATTATGAATTCGTGATAATTGCTCTTCCAGCAGCCGGGGCGGGAAAAAAAGTATCGGTTGGTAGATAAAAATTGAGTATAATGTGATAATCGCCGTTGAATTGCTGTCCGATCGTGTTTTAGTTCGATCGATTTAGAAAATTCGCGACAGTCGAAACGAGGTTGAAGAGAAAGAGAGAGGATCGATTTTATTTGCGGTCGAAGGTGAAATTGCATTGTGAGTATCGCGTTCGTAATTTAGAAAAATTGAGAATTCAACGCTACGGCGTTTATGATTACTTCACGATAAATTAAATTGCTCTCTTCTGTTCGTGGTAAATGTTGTATTGTACGGTTAAAGAAAGAATTCGTTTACGATTCGTTACGGTAAGTTAAATCAAATATACTTGAACAAATACAGCTGGTACAATAAATTAAATTACGCCCACCCCTTGTTCATTGTAAATGTTATATTGCAGTTGGAAGATTGAAAATTCAACGAGGAACTCTTATTTGTTTGTTTACAATTTACTGCAATAAGCCAAACGCGTGGTACTTACTTAAATAAATGCAATTAATACAGTCAATTAAATCGCTTTATCCTGTTCATCGTGAACGTTACATTCGTAATTCATTTACACTTGGAAAGTTGAACATTCGATTCGAGAATTAATTCGTATTCGTTTCTAAATTAATTAGCAAACAGACAAACGCTTTCTCACTTTTTTCGTAAATTATTTGCTCAACAGGAACATTTTTATTCGCCGACGAGGTGAGATAGATTTGATCAGAGTGGAGCAAATAATCGCGAAACCTCTGTAGCAATCTCGACGATGTGGTCTGGATAGAGCTCTGTTTGGTGTTCCGCCGCAGGAGCGGCGGTAGGAGCGCGTCACATCCGGTTTCTTTAGCACACAGGAAAGAAAGAAGTTCTTTCAAATCTCACGGGGGGTCGCGGCGAAGAAACCCGGTATTACTTGCAAAGTAAAATTTACTAGAGCATCGAGGAGTCCCCAAGTTTTCTCATTTGCGGTGCTTTGTTTTATGATTCTTACGTGAGGGGCGAGCGACATGAGCCGTAAAGTGGCGAAGAATGATGTTAAAAGCATACACTCGTATCTTTTTATTACCACCGTCTTCGATTGATGCACCCTCCTCCTCCTCCTCTTATCGTGAAGAAAGTTAAGCTCATACCGCTTTATCGTCTCCGTCGCGTTATGGATCGTGTCTTTCCTTCAATATAGGAGGCTTAATTTTTTTTTTTTCTTTTTTCTTTCACTCGCCCCCCCGGAGCACTTACCCCGGGAAATATCGCGGCCATGCATTTACGATTCAAATCGCCATCAATAATTCCGTCTTCGATTGACCTTAATACTTACTTGCATTACTCTCGTATGCGCCCGACACCGAAGAATATAAATCAATTTTCGAGCGGAACGTAGACACGAAAGCTGCGCACTTTTAAATGACAAATTACATAACTATGTCCGATCTGTGATACTGCAAATTGTTGCGCGACTCTGGAAGTGATGAAACTTGGTGATTGCGCGATGTATTATTTCTAAATGAATAACTCGGATGGTATAACGATCAGTTCGTTTTGTTGCAAATAATGTCGTGGAACAGTTTGAGACTCCGATATGAATTTTCATTTTCGAAATGCAGCGTAATGTAACAAAATATTATTATTATTATTCGTTTCGCAGGATAATTTCTTTTATCTACGTATGTTCTTCGAATTGATTCTTTCGTGTGATTTTATTATTAAAATTTTATCATATTCATGTTATCATGTTATCAATTAATAATCATATATGTAAAATATAAGAAATAAGCGTATAATAGTGATAACTCTTGTTCGAGATAGGACGTGATCAGTTCATTCAGTCTAATTTTGTTACAAACAATATCTGCAAATCAGTTTGAAACTCCATCGGACAGATCTCTGATATGAATGTTAATTTCTGAAATATGACACAACTAATTATTTGTAATTATATGAACATTTTTTGTACATTTTGCAGGAAATTTAATGGTGGAAAATTGCGGGAGAAGCACGCGACATAAAAAAGTATAAAAAATAAACTATAAAACATTAAGACAAAAAGTATAAAATGTAGGAAGCGCAGCACATTTTGCCGTGAAACAATTCTCCTCGCGAGTGTCGACGTTTTTAACAAAAGGATTTGCATAAAAATCCGCAGTCTACCGACAAGTATTTATATCGTTACGCCTCCTACGATGTAAAATTATTTATTCCGTCGAATGCAATAATTAAAATACACGCCGTCAAAACTGGTTTTCACATGCGGAATTCCAACAACGCTGGAAAGAACACGCGTTTCCATTAACGACGATCAATCGAAACGAAAATCCCGCGCAAACGGGAGAAATGGGAGACTGGATTGCGAGAGAGTTAATACGATTGCCTGTCTGAACAATATTATGCAACAGTATTACATCGTACTTTCCGTAGGGAAGTAATTACAATGGGAATAAAAAAGAAAGAAAAGAAAAAAAGAAAGGAATAGCTCGCTGCAGCGTCACCAACAGTGCGATAACGGAACTTGCGAATCGTACTCGGTAAATCGCGTTACCGTGGCCGCTCCGTAATGGTATGCAAGTCGATTTTTCCTTTCCTCTCGGCGTCTCTTCTCTTTCTTTCCTTTTTTTTTTGTTTCCTTTTTTGTTTTTCTTTTTTTTTTTGTTAGTGGAATTCCACTTGATTGCAGCCGGTGATTCAATTGCGCGTCGCGAAATACAAGCGGGACGTGCCGCCGCGTGTAAGAGAGCACACAAACTTATTCGAAATTACGATCGATAAAGTCTGAATTACCAACATCGATGCTTAACTTTCAGAGATGAAAGAATACAGCGGTTCGAAGGACGTGCATTGGCACGACTAGCTGGATAATACATTAGGGAATTTGTTTTCATACAAATTGAATACTATCAGTAATACCAATGTATTTAATTTTAAATTTGATTCTTTATAAATTTTAAATTTAATTTAATTTAATTTTAAATACGTTGGTTCGCTACGTACTGAGTCATCGAAATAATGAATTATAGAATAATAAAATCTCGGCAATCGAAAACATTAAGAATGTTATTAGGAGAACTGCAAAATATTCTTTCATAAATACTGGAATATCGTCAAATAATATTACGTCAGCATAAACAAAGGACATTCGTTTTTGAACCATTATAAATATTTTATATTCTGTTCAAATACGTGATGATAGGACCTTCGTATGTTTGTTAATGTAATATATTTTTTGATTCGCGAATTTCCATGTTGCTTGTAACATTGATGTGTAATTCATTAAAAATATTTTATGTTCCCTTCGAATGTACGAGAGAGATTAACAATAAGGCGAAGATTGTTCATCTTTTTCGAAACTTTCATTTCGTGAATAAAAGATCCGGCTCGCGGGAAACGTTACTTGTCAGAGAGAAAGAAATTTTCTTGGTGTATCGGAAATTTTGTCACGGTTTATTACCGAACGCCAGCTTCAATTTTCTGTACGACCAGCCTTCTGATTGATGAAAAATTCGCAAAGCGAACTTGGAAGATGGGTGATATCTTTCCAAGATCGTGATCAAATTTTCTAGAAGGATACTTACGATTTCTTGAAGATTCATGGAGCTATTTCCCCAGAAAATCCCGAACGAAATATAAAATTACGAAATTAATTAAATGAAGAAAATTATTAGATACACTTACCTATGCACGAGTCAAGTGCAAAACTATATCTATTCCAACATTGGAACTATCAAAATGGTCAGAAACGATCAATTTATAATTTTCCACCGAAATTTCATATACTTATAACAATGTGTTTTTAGAAACTTGAATTTTCGCAAAATGTACGAATAAAAGCTTTGCCTTGAAATTAATTAAATGAAACAAATTATTACTCTATATCTATTTTATTTAACACCAGAAATGACCAATTCCGTTGGAAATGTCATATATGTAAAACAGTCTAAAATCTTTAGAGATTTTTCGTAAAATATAATAAATATATATTTATAATATTATAATATTATATTATAATAAATATTATATAAATATATATTTATAATATTATAAATATATAATATTTAAATATATAACACTATATTACATTCTATTTTCTTTATCTTTAATCGTTCACAGTTCTATCGTTAATGTACAATAAAAAAAAAATTATGCACTAATTTTAAATCAATTATATTATTAAAATTAAAAATAGCGATGAAATTGCTACACACTACAGTCTCGATGAAACTGTAAAGTTTACCGCTTTCACTTTGAGAAACAAATCCTGCCCGGTCGATACTTATTTCTCTGTTTCTCGTCGTTTCAGAACAAGGACAAACCACCAGCAAGAAGAAGACAACATTTTCGCGACTGCTTCGAGGACTAAAGACGCACAGGAAGGAGAAACAAACGCAAGCCCAAGGTTCCCCGAGGCACGGCCGCGCAAGAATGGGTGTACCACAAAGAGTAAGTGTGCATCTGTGTACAGAGCCATAATCCCAACTCTTCTAGAGACACACGGCGATGCCAGCTATTTACTACAATCTGTGTCGATTCAGATTTCCCGCGTATTCCTCGCCTTCGACAACAATTTTCAACCCTTTGTTCGCAATCTAGGCTTCGTTACCTCGTCGTATGCCCGACGTTTGTAATTTTCACGGCAAACAAAACGGTGTTTCGCGCGGTTCGTCGAGCAAAAGACAGCTAATCGAATGACTTTCGAATGATTGCATCATGAAGTTACAATTAATTAGATCGGTTCTAGGTAGAAAATGAAATCTTGGTGGAAAGAGCGTGATTGTGAGAATGAAAAGTCGTCGAATAAACTTCGTGAAAGAATATCACGCAGTGAAGCATCTGTTTTATGAATATTCAAACTTATCGTGCTCTCTTTACAAAGATTCTTCGAAACTAGCTGTAAAATTTTTTCCCATCGTTGTATCGAACTTTAAACATGAGAGGTTAAATTAAAAATTCAAGAAATCGTAACATTCCGTCTGGTCGTAACGTTCGAAGTTTAATAAAATGATGAGAAAAGAAGCGAGTTGCGAAGAAAAGACTTGACGATAGATCTGATTGCCAAAAAAAAAATTTTTTTTGGTAGAGTTTTATAGGTTCGAATTTTTACAATTCGAGCGAAACATCTTTTTGTGTAAAGTCGCTTTCGAAAAGGACGAATTACTGTCAAAGTAGACGTTCGACACTTCAAAATGATACCAGGTGGATTGTTATAAAAGGAATATATTTTAAATAAGGAAATTAGAATATTAAAGGAATAGAATATTAATAGAATATATTATATATTAATAGTAATAATATATTAATAGAATATATTATATATTAATAGTATTAATATATTAATAGAATATATTATTACTAGAATATTAAAAAAATATATTTTAATTAAATATTTAAATAAAAAGATCGATTTTAAATAAAAATAATATATCAACGTAAGTGATAATATTTTCCGTTTTTCACGTTATTTATTAATCAGTGAAACTTAAGGATTATTGACACGCATGTTTGTGAGTATATTTAAAGAAATAAAATTTACTCAACAAACATCTTTTGTTCATGCTTTTCGACATTGAAATTACATTGTATTTTGAAACGTGTTTTATGTTGTAAAAATTGCAAATTGTTCAATGAGATCTGATTTTTATAGAATTCAATGTTCTGGTCGAGAAATGTGAATTGTATTGTACAAAAAAAAAAAAAAGAAGTAGGAAGAAATAGACATTGTTTGAGCTCACCAACCGGTGAAATTTGACAGTCAGTTTCGTTCGAAACAACAGCTACGGCGAAGTATGTAAAACAAAAAGTTGTTCTCGCGAAAATTCACTATTTTTTATTTCCGTAAAAATTTACTTTTTTCTTTTATTTCTCTCTCTTCTCTCTCTCTCTCTCTCTCTCTCTCTCTCTCTCTTTCTCTCTCTTTCGCGAAGCTGGTGCTTGTAATTCTACATATTTACGAAGCTGCAGCAGAGGAGCGCAAAACGCGAGCCGGCGGCTCTGTTTAATTCCGTTTCACGTGTAACTTATATTTACGCAGCCGTAAAATCGAATTCATATATCTGTCCGGATGCATCGGGACCTTTTCACCGAAACCAAAAACGTTACTATCGGCTACTGGAATCGTTATCCACGTTCCTGCAATCTTATTTATCGAACGATCGATATTTCCACCGAAGAAAAACGTGCAATTTCATCGTAATAATTTATTTTCTTTATTCGAACTTCGTGATCACAGGCAAATCTAAAACGATATTAATGACAGTTGTAGTAAATTCCGCTTTGCCTGTATGTTTAGTAGATTATTTTAACGTTAGAATGAATATACAATGGCTCTCGCTAATATTGAAACTATTATAATTTTGTAAAAAATAAGAAAATCGCACGGTAATAAAATTTCAGAGCTCATTTCGAAGCCTCTACTTTCGATGTACATCGTTTATTTTGTTCTAGAGATATTTTTACACTACGCAGTGGGTGGCAAAGTGAAGGCAGTTTCCTTTCGAGAAATTCTATAAATTGTCGTAGTATCAAGAATATTGAAAATTCTTTGAAATTCAAGAACACCCTTCGACAACTGAATTTATGATGGATTTGTATTGTAGAGTTAAGCAATTATTGCAATTATCTCCCAGAAACTTGCTCTATGATTTTGTTCGTCAATTCATCAAACTTTCAACAAGTTTGCTTCGGCGCGAAACACGAATTTTGAAAAATGCAAATTAGAGAAATGAATTATAAGTCTTCAGTGATGAGAGTATCTTCATATAGTGAACTGAACACGTAACGATGAGAAATTATCGATACTTCTAAACCAATAAGAGAAATCATGGCAAGAGTGTAATTATTAAAATTTCATTTTAAATTGTGAAGAATTCGAACGAGTGACGGTGGTAAAATTTTTGTTGGAATAGCATCCTGCAAAACACCACGTTATTTCACCCTCTTTGTGCTCCACGTGCAAATACTCAATCAAGTATTATTCACGCTAAAACTCCACGTGTGTTTTTCGATTTTTGCTCGTCGCTGTATATATCTAATTATCTAATTTCGTACAAACTGTAATTCCGAAAATGTAAATTCGGTTAAAAAGTAATGGAATCTTCTCTCATTTCGAATCTTTTCAAACTACACTGCTCACAAAAATTAGGGGATATTTTAAAATGAATATGAAGCGATAAAAAAGAAAAATGAAGCATTTGATTTTGCTTTTCTGCTTTTTTATTATTCTTGTTTAATAGAAAAAGAAAGAATCAAGGTGCTTCTTGCAACATACAACAATTTTTGCGAGCAATTTTATATTTCTGCAATAGTAAGCAACGATATCTAAATATAGGCAACTGGGTTGCACACTGCAACGCGATATTCTCGTCAAACTAATGACGTGCAGTTGTTTTATTGCTTGGGGCACGATTATTGACGCTGAGATATCGTATGAATCGGTCGAGTTAACAGATAATCGCCAGATCGAATCCCTGGCAGTTGACGTGAAAGGGTTTCGTTACAGTTGAAATGACTTGTGTGTTCAGGCTAATGCCTGGCCATAATACCACGATAAAGTTGTAATTACGATATCCCAATCTTGCCTCGGGGCATTAAAATCTTTTAAAACAGACTTTCAGATTTTATTATCAGATCGGTAGTTATTGCTCGTACATTTATGATACCGATTGCAAAAAAACAATCTTTTGTTACCGATACTTGATAAATGATTAGGAACACGGACAGTACATGTCAGTCTACGTACATCGTGCGGATGTTTATCGGCGCTTAAACGATAATGCCGACAATTTGCGTGATTAGCAATTTCGTAAAATTGTCAATATTTATCGACGATAGCAATCTGCAGGTTGTACTTCAATCATCAAATTATATGCCTTCTGCGTAAAATTGCGCGTAGAAATATTAAAATTACAAAATGAAATTTTCCGTCTGGAAAGCATCGATCGCCTAGAATTATAAGTGAACATTTTTTTTTTTTTTTTTTTTTTTTCATTTTAAAATACCAACTACTTTTACGTTTAACAAGCCAGAGAAACTCATCGTTTACAAATCTATATTTATGTCAATTTTACGCGACAGTAAACATACATGTCGATAAACTGCGAGATAAACGAAAAATCGGCAAAATATCGCGTTTCTTCGGACGAGCGTTTTATTCTTTATCATTTCCCATCCCGAAATACTATATATTCCCGGCGTAGAGAAACGTTAAACGTTTTTATCGCGGTAACCAGTAATTTTCATCGGCGTCCCTTTCATTAATCAAACGTCGGCAAATTACTGTGCAAGTAATTTGCCTGTCGCGCTGAAACTTGTAATTCTTTTTTCTTTTTTACTCGCTTTTTCAGAACCGATTGCCCCCACAATTAAAGCCTGCGCCTGCACGACGCAGTTATTCCTCCGTCTTTTGTATCCGTTTTCTGCTCTATACTCTCGCCAATTTTCCACTGTATCTCTCTCTCTCTCTCTCTCTCTCTCTCTCTCTTTCACACACACACCTTCCAAATTATTTTATTCTACGTTATTAAAGGCCGACATCGGTCCCCGATATTATAAAAGATATTTGCAAAAAGAGAGATCGGTCGAAATTTATTTTTCATTGTTTCAGAAAAGCAAAGTGTTACAATGCACGAATGTGAGTCAGACGATAATAATTTAATAATAAAATATTAAATATTTAATAATATTTAATAATATTTAATAGTACTTAATAATAATATTTAATAATATTTAATAGTATTTAATAGAATTTAATAATAATATTTAATAATATTTAATAATATTTAATAATATTTAATAGTATTTAATAGAATTTAATAATAATATTTAATAATATTTAATAATATTTAATAACAAATATTTAATAATATTTAATAGTATTTAATAATAAATATTTAATAATATTTAATAATAATATTTAATAATAAATAATAATCGAACGATAATAAATAATTTCGCGCGTGAGATATTTACGCATTTGCACGCCACGGGCGTCCGAATGTCTGTTAACTTCCGGTTCGTTGACAGAGAAACCGGGGATGCGCATCGACGAATCCTCGAAGCCTCGGAGAATCAAAGATTCCCAAGATTTCCCATGTGCCGGCGATTTACTAGATTCAACGACGCCACGACGATTTTAACCCTTGAGAATACGAGCCGCCGATGCCACGTCTAATTTCATTTAATACCTCTCAAATTGCAAATGCTTGTGAAAGCTACGTGGAGTTTCTTTCTCGTGCGTAAGGTAATTCCGAAACTTTTTATGTCCATGCCTTTGTGATAACTGGGACGTCGCTGAAGAAATAAAATTTTAAAAGAATTTGTTTCACATACGGTGTATATATAATATAAAGAACAATGATGATTTAAACTGACGTAATTCTGTAAAAAGAAAATAGAAAATTCTATGACGATTCGTTTTATCTCATTTTAAAGGGTAATTTCTTTTT